TGCTTACTTTAGGTATACAAATAGATGCAAGGATGTGAATGTGTATTATCTTTTGTAAAACAGAGAAGTAAGGTTCATAACTGTTTTCATTCGCATTATTTTCATTGCTGATGCTGCTTCTATTTTCATTGTTTAATTAGTAAATTGTTAGAGGTGCACCGAAATGAAAATTTCAAAACCCAAATGAAAAACCATTTCAGGCCAGAAATTAAACCGAAAATGTTTTTTTTTTCTAACTTTTTCAAAAAAAAATTAATACTTTATTTTTCTTTATTTTTTATAAACTTAATTTTTTTATATTTTCTTTTTATTTATTCATTTTTTATTAAATATTTTAATTTATTGTTGGGGGATTTCGGGAAATATTGGGGGTCTAAACAGATCACTGATATTTCCCTTTTAAAATAGAAGAACGGATTGAGAATACAGAGTCCTCGATCTCTTTTTCTGCAGGCCTTGTTATAAATTAACAGGAATCCTCTATACTGAGTGTTCCTGTTCATTTAGAACTTGTGGGGATCGAATGTTTACCATGTCCACAATCATGAATAAACAAGAGGTGATGTAGATCAGGCCTTCTTAAACTTTTTCCACTCGTGACCCCTTTTTGGGCAGGGAAATTTAAAGGGACCCCAGCGTCGAACGGTGTCTCTCCCCTTTTTCCCCCAGCGTCGGTCAGTGTCTACCCCCTCCTCTAGCGTCAGTTGGTGTCTCTCTCCTCTTCCCCACGGACGGTCAGTGTCTATCATTACCAACTACTACTACTAAGCCCCCTCTCCCTCTTTCTCCTTACCTTTACCTCCAGCAGCTGTGCTCCACTGCTGCTGTGTTAAAAAAAAGCTCCGTCAATGTAAAAAAAACACCAACCTTCCTGTGTGCACATGCTCAGGAAGGTACGAAGTGCACGGGTGGGAGGGGGGGCGCGACCTTAAAAACTACACTACACTGCACATTAAACGAAAACAAAAAAATCTTGTTTCGAGCCCAGGCCTCCCCGGCCGTACACCCTTGATGGCGGTCCTGGCCGGGGATTCAGATTGTGACCCCTCCTGTTCATTTGCGTGACCCCATATGGGGGTCGTGACCCACACTTTAAGAAGCACTGATGTAGATCACTCCCATTCATTCATAATTGGGGACACAGTAAACATACTCTGTCTACAAACACTCAGTGGTCACTCTCCATCCTGATGCTATCACAGGAGGCGGGGCGGGAGCAGAGCTCAGCCTCCTTTGACAGCAATGGCTGTCCCCGCCCACACCGGCGATTTGGATACATTTTTTAAAATCTTATTATGTTTTACTTTTTTATTTATTCTCTTTATTGAACCTGTCAGCTTCAATACAGGAGTTTGGGCACATCACTGTGTGTAACGCCGTTAGCCCGCTTGCTTCAGTCTCCGTCGCGGTGCCTCTGTGTTCCACCGTGGAACGCGGAAGCGGCACGAGTTCCGGCTTGTGAATGGGCGGCTGCGTTCCACTGTGGAACGCGGAAGTCGTTCGGCCCGATCAGCGGTCCCTCCCTTAATTCCTGACACTATTTAAGGAGACGAGCGAGGCAGCATGGCGTTCCGTTATTGAGGTCAGAACGCCTGCTGCCTCCTGAACCTGGATACCACACTGCTGACAACCGAGACTGGGACCTCTCTGCTGGACATCAATACCACTCTCTGTATACAGAACTGCAAGTACTACTCCCTTTGGAGTATAGCCTCATTAAGACTGTGTCTGCTTCTTACATAGACTGTGTACCTTGATAGATGCCAGAGTCTAATACACCAGTGTCATCTGCAGTAAGCTAATTACCTTCATCTTAGACCACTGATTGCTTACAGCCTATGAAGTAATAGTGCTGTCACTACTAATATTATTTGCCTTACTATGATGGTAGAATCTCAAACTCGCCGTTAAGATTGCGAGTGACGCCTGAGATTCGTATCTGATTGGCTCCTTAGAGAAAACCCCTCCGCAGTTGAGATCCACCATTTAGACATTCACCATAAGCGTGACACTGTGCTGGCTCTCATGTGACAGCTGAGATGGGAAGGCTGTGAGTGCAGCTCTCCCGTCTCAGGCCCCATTCACACTGAGCGATTCGCAAATCGCGCGTTTGTCGCGCGTTTGTTGCGCGATATCGCAGAAATGCTTGCATTGAGCAAGCTAGAATCGCGGCAAAGTCTGCTCCAAAAAGGGTCCTGCTGTAGCGACGCACGACCCGCGACAGCGACGGGCAGAGCCCCATTGCCATGCATTGTAAATAGCCGCGATATCGCGGGAATTACCGCGCCATAAATCGCTCAGTGTGAATGGGGCCTTAGTGTTCACAATGTTGCAGAGCAGAGAACAGGCATCTTCCGCTCTTCTCCCCGCTTTCCATCCTAAACTACCTCGCTGTTGTCCCGGGTCCCCCAGAAGAGCGGAGGACCCTAAAAACCATGGCGGGGAGGGGAGAGGCGAGGAGAGACGTAGCTGACTGGGGGGCGGCGGGGGTACAGACCTGCAGGCTGCATACAAGTTATCTAGGCGGCATCAGCTGGATCACTTGCTCGCTGTACTTGCCCCTTGCCGAAGCAGGGCTAGGTGTAGAAAAAACTACCCGTACTCATGTAGACTGCATGTCCCGGGTGTCGGGCACTAGGAATTCCACACCCCTACCACTCCTCTACTCCCTGTAGTGTCGACCCAAAATCGGGCCTCGGTGGCATTGTGGAAAATCTGGCCCTGTTCCTGACCATAGATTGTCTCCGTTGACTCCTGGTGTTACTTTGCGCAGTTCACGATCATGGCTTGTCTCTGCTGACTCCTGGTGTTACTTTGCGCAGTTCCCGATCGTAGCTTGTCTCTGCTGACTCCTGGTGTTACTTTGCGTAGTTCCCGATCATAGCTTGTCTCTGCTGACTCCTGGTGTTACTTTGCGCAGTTCCCGATCATAGCTTGTCTCTGCTGACTCCTGGTGTTACTTTGCGTAGTTCCCGATCATAGCTTGTCTCTGCTGACTCCTTGTGTGACCTCGGCTTTCCTCCTGCCCATGACTCTGGCTTCTTCCCAGCCTGCTCCGCCTGCTACCAACCACCGTCTGTCCAGACCATGCTTCCAGCCTGCTGTGTGCACCAGTTTCCTTGTCAGCTGCCCTCCAAGGTGACCTTCATGTCGTCAATGCTAAGCCTGATGAAGGGACCCTGTGTGGCCCCGAAAGCGCTTGTTTATATGACAAGGAACTTCAATAAATGAACATTTTGTTATCCTAAGAAGAATTTTGGTGTGCTAGTGACATCTCTACGCAATTGCTGATATTTGCGGCGCCATCCACAGTCACCGCGAGCACGCCCCCACTACAAGGGACTTTTCAGTAAGGAGTGCGACAAGGGAAAATTTCATCTGCCCCAAAACAATTAGACTGGCACAAACAATCTTGGTCTAGAAGATCTGATTATCGGAATGCCAGAAGAGCATAAGGGAATTGATTAATTGCGCCACTGACTTCTCTGTACCACGTCAAGCCTAGGCCTTTTTTTAGTGCCCATTCATACACTCCCATTTTGCCACATGTGTTTTCCACTTGAATCAATGCACGTTGATGCATTAAAACATGCATCAACGTGCATTACTGAATGTTTCCCACTCACCATGAAACGCCTGTCATCCTGCATCTGCCATTTCAACAGGATTGGACAAGATGGACAGTCTATGGGGCACCAGTGACATCCATAACAAATCTACTCCAGACAAAAATTAAAGTGACACTAAACTCAAGAATTAAATCTTAAATATACATTTTAGTACCCCAATTATTATCAAAAATGTATCTTATTTGTGTATCACTCAGCTGTAGATCCTCAAATCATCTCTGAATTCATACTGACACTGTCCTTCCTTCTGGAGGGTGCAGGGGCGTATCTGCCGCGAGGCACTTGTAGTCCATCACGCAAGCGAGCTTGGAGTGGTGGCTACTTTACAACAAGGACAGTGCCGGCACCAATTCAGAGATGATTTGAGGATCTACAGCTGAGTGATACACAAATGAGATACATTTTTGTTAATAGTTAAAGTACTCAGGTTTGACTCCTGAGTTTAGTGTCTTTTCGAGGACTTGTTCACACCAATTGTGGTGCATTCCAGAGCTGTAGCTGCTGGAACGCACAGCAATCGATCACTAAACTTACCCCTTCTTTCTGGGGCAGGAGGGGGTGTGATGGTGCATTGAAGTCAATAGCACGGCCCCCCACCTGCAGTACGATCAGACGCGTGGCAAAACATTGCCTGCATTCCGCTCCACTACGAAGGCAAAAAATAGAGCATGCAGCTTTTTTTTGTATTTGCAGTATAACAGAACGCAGGCGATGTTTTGCCACGCGTCCGATCGCACTGCGGGCGGGGGGCATGGCTGTGGTGCCATTGACTTCAATGCACCGCCACGCCCCCTCCCACCCTAGAATCAAGGGGGAAGATTAGTGAGCGATTGCTGTGCGTTCCAGCGGCTACCGCTCTGGAAGCATCACAGTTGGTGTGAATGGGCCCTAAACTGGCCAGGCTAGGACAGCATCAGCATCAAGGATCACATGTACTTTCTGAAAAAAAGTAAACAGCTCAGTATTTGGCCCCTGAATTGCAAACAAACATGACTAAGGTTAGTACATGACATACATGAGCCAATGTAGTAAGTGAACTATGAGATCAATCAACATGTATCATCAGTCACCATTGTTAGCGTTTACCTGAGCATCCCAGCAACACCCCTCCTTAGAAGATGCCCCGTTCCCAAGGAGACGCCACCTGGGGCATGATACAGCCCGTCGCAGAACTTGTTTCTATAGAAACAGACGCCCAGACCGCGATGCACTGTGGGATGAAACAAAATGCTGAAGAAAGAGCCAGGAGAGGTCGTATAGGCTGGCCAACGGCAGAACGTGTGGGTGAGCTTCTGGCCAATTAGGCACAGCCTGGGAAAGCGTGGAAGTAAGTAATAGAGCCGCCCCAAGGCGCCAAGAAACAGTCGGTGTCGAGACAACGCGGTGACTGTAGAGATTTAACCGGTATCGCTGTGAGTATAGAGAGACGGTGGCCAAGTTGATGCTTTGGGGGGTATTGCATGCGATTTGCTTTGGAAAGCTGAGAGCTCTAACCCATGCCTTTTCCAGGTGTGATTTGTGGTGGACTCTGCTAATGGCTAGAAAGCCCATCACGTCTATTGCTCTTCATAGTCAAGAAAGCTTTGGGGGTAGTGAGGGAGTAGCTGATTTTTATTTTATTGGTGGGGTGGCATTAATAAGTGAGTTTTATGGCATCTCACATCCAGATCTCTATTCACAGGCCATCATGAGTGAGAGGAAAGCAGTCATTAAAAATGCGGACATGTCTGAGGAGATGCAGCAGGACTCTGTGGAGTGTGCCACCCAAGCCCTGGAGAAATACAACATTGAGAAGGATATAGCTGCTCATATCAAGAAGGTGAGTCCTCCTTATCGCTCCTATAAACAAGTGGAGGTGAAAACCTAATCCTGCCAGCGTCCCTTTCTATATCACCAGATCTAATTTCCTATGTGTTTATTCAGACAATGTAACTGAATCCACCCGGCAGTGTGACTTGTAGCAAGTGCTGCAGCAGTCAGAACTGATTCAGACCCTGACATGTGGGGTTTAGGAAGGCTTGGGCACATAGGGGCTGATGAATGAATATGTAGCTGTGCATAGATGGCTGTTTGTTGCCTTTCTCTCATTTTATACTCATATTTTCAGTGTTCTCTATGCTATCTTTTTTTCTGTATGTGGACAAACCTACATTTACTGATGGCGCACAGTAGTTTAGCATGCACCTGAGTTGTGTGGCTGCTGTTGCTAGGAATTGGTCCCATAGTGATCCCTGTGGAACACATTATATATGCACCACGCACTAATGTATGCTTGAGGAGGTTAAAAAACCTTGTGTGTACCCCTGCGTATAAAATGCTGAGCAACCGCATGCTGGATCACAGGGAGATGCTTGCATGTAATCCATCCTGGTCAGCCACAACCAGGCTCTGGTGGCAAGTTAGTGTGGGGGTTGTCATGTGTCTACATGCAGTCTTGGCTTTCCTGCTAATGGTAAAAGTGTAGGTGTTTGTAAGGAGTTGGGGGGCTCAACCGGAAATCTGGACTATGCATAATCTGCCTTTTCTTTCTATTGACCATAAGGACTCTAATCACACTTTGTAGCCTGTAGGGAGGCAAGGAGGGGTGGACTTCATAGGGACTATGAGGGATCTGGGGTGGGCATCTGAGAGACATGGTCACTGCTTAATACAGCACCCTGGTATTCCATTAGAGGTAAACAAGTTCTGATGAAGCTGATCCTAGGTCCAGATGGCTGCTAGTTGCGTTAAAATCGTAGCTGCTCTGCTGCCAGAAACTACAGAGTGATTGATTCGTCTTCTGGAGCTGAGCCTTTTTGGTCTAGTACCATGAACACCTCCTGTTTGCCTTCCTCTACCCTTGTCTATTCGCAAGAAGCCTAGAATGCTTTACACCGAATACAGGGCATTCTGTAAAGAGGGGGGGATCATGTCATGGCTGTTGTCTACTGACAACTCCTTGCGTTCTGTAAAGGAATTGGACAAGGGGAGAGGTCAGTGACTCTCTACTGTATAAGCTGGAGCTCTGTGACCATGCTGGACAATCGCCTATCATTTTTACAGTAACGAGAAGCTATCTGGATCTAGGATTGTCTTTTATTAGAGGAAGCATGTTTAACTTGTGTTTACTAAAACAAATTCTAGGGTTGTCTTTAATGGTCTAGGTTGGTGCTTTTAAGTCTTCTGCAGTTGTGTAAGGCCAGATCATTAATGGGGTAATCTCTTCACAAACCATTCAAACTGCTTATGAAGGTTTTAAATGTGCTCAGTTTTTGCCAGAAATTTACTTTCATTGCTTGTGTCTGATCCTGAAGGCAGTCCTGAGGTGCAGTGTGACATGGCAGCCTTTTAGCGTCACCCAGTTTTTAATGGAGAATTGGCTGCTGCACTGCACAAAATCATTCTCTGCATTAATGTGCTGAAAGTGGCTGGAGGCAGCACATGTACTGCATTAATCTATAAGACTAAATTGGTTTTCACTTACATTTGGTGAGACAAGAAAGATGCTGCTCCTGGCACTGTTATTATAGATTTTACAATATCGGTAGCATGTATTGACCCGAGATGTTTTCTTCTAGGAATTTGACAAGAAATACAACCCTACATGGCACTGCATCGTGGGCAGAAACTTCGGCAGCTACGTCACACACGAGACCAAGCATTTCATTTATTTCTACCTGGGCCAAGTTGCAATTCTGTTGTTCAAATCGGGTTAAAGCACTGAAATGGACTATGCAAATGTTTGAAAATGTATGATTGAAGGGAACACCTCCTTTGCAGACTACCCCTCTGTATCGTTTGTTACTGAGATTTAAACCTTATGTATGTTCTCACTCCTTGTTGGTTATAAAATTTGTGAGGGAAAAAGAAACTATTTATTTTCTATGGATTTCTAACATTAAATGTTTCTTTTTACAAACGAGTGTTCTGCTACTTGTGCTACAGCTCTCAGCTAACATCAAAGTGCTTGTAGTGGTGCGGATTAAAAACAATGGAGGGCTGTCTTCACTAAGAAGCCATGCTTAATATTGCAGGTTTGAGAGCAAGTGGGCATTAATGGTGAGCTCATCTGGTAAATTGCTGCAGTTATTGGGAACAAGTGATGCGTCCTGGTGTATAAAGAATGAAAAGATTTCTGAGTTGGGTCAGTAGGTTATCTACCACTAAATTATCTACCACTAATTAAAACATTTTGGTGGCGCCTCGCTCTCTTCACACTGGGAACGCATGAGGACTCGCCAGAAGAACCCAGCCGCAGCGGGTTCTACCCCTACCCGGTCCCATTGCATCGACGTCTGCTGCTGTGAGTAGGTCCCACATGTGTCCCGGGCAGGGTGCCGGGCCACCGAGGCTACCTTGACTGGTAGGGAGGAAAGGGGGTCGCGCCACTCATCTGATGTCCACATGAGCCATCGAGGGCTGCTATCGCCTGTTGGTTGAGGGAAAAGCTCCGCTGGAGCCATCACAAGCTGAGGATGGTTATCCTCTTAAAAGAGGGGAACCTCAGGGCCTTCACCTGCAAGGGTAGGACAGGATGGGGACTGCCCCAGGGCTCTTGCTCAGGCATTTCCCAAGCCGCTGGCCCTGTTAAGGAGATGCCCGAGCAGTATGCACGCAGACCTATACAGAAAACAACAAAAATGTTCCCCATACTCCTGTTTAGGTCGAGGAAACAAACTGGCATGCTGGGGGTAAGCGCCCTTTTATTTGGTGTATGTGATGTGTTTCAGGTGGAGGAGACTATCTCTCAGATGCTTTCCTGGAAACCGAGTTACCAGGTACCCAAATCAGTTTTTTTTTGGGGGGGCGGGGGTTTTTGTATTTCTGCTAATTGCACACTGCTTATCCTACAATCACTCTAGGATAAGAGACACTAACTGTACCATATCTATGGGAAAAGTGATGTCCTAGGAGTACACAACAGGGATGAAGGTGGAGTCTGCGGGACAGATTTTGGGTATTGGAAGCGATACACCTGTATGGGACAGTAGTTACCTGAGGTATATAAGCTGCATTTTGGAAGGTATTTTGCAAATTTCTCAGTTGGGCAACAGACCTATTCAACGAGTGTGTACG